GAGGCAGATCTGACGATGATTCAGTTCGGCCACACCAGAAGTTGAGTTGAGAATTCATTTCACGGTAAGGGTCACTATTTATAGGTGTTAAGGCTAAGACGGTTAACCCTTAGAGCTACAATCTTCCAGGCTCGGTTCCTTAGGACATAGGAGAAGTCTTGGAATGGCCAGACTATTAGGAATAGTGTATTCTAAAGAAGGATAGGAAAATAGATGAAAGAGTGTTGACTCTCGGATGATCGCAGTCCGGCTGCTAGGGCGTCAATTTCGGAGAGACGTAGGCATCAGAAATCACCGCAATGTCGGTGCATGCTTTCTTACAGCGGCCAATGGCAGAGCTGATGTCTAGACTAGCGTAGGCGTGCGACCTTTAGATGACTGGCTAGCGTGAGCGCGCGGTCACGCTGAGGCGTATATGCGCGTCGGTCAAGGACAGTAAGCGCCTAGTCCCAGGAGGCAGTGGGTGCGTAGGCAGGCTAAAGGCGCCATGCGTCAGCAGCTGGTCTTGGGTTCCATGTGGCTGCAAAAGGTCACTACAGTTTTTCGGCCTCCTCACCTGTTACCGGATTGTTCAGGAAGACCTGTGTGCAACTCACATCACTTGAACCGCGAACGATCTAGCTGCGTTATAGATGCTCCTTTGAAATAGGGAATCCTCTGCCAGGCATTTGTTGGCATCGTTCCTAGGTGCGCGTTCTCGATGGCATTAGATTCCGTCAGTGTACGCAGCGGTCAGTTTTAAAATTTGCATACGTACAAAAACTTCGAAACCCTACGCTTGTTGCACTTCGCAGCCCGTAACAATTAGTGCTTGCACGACAGTGAAATAAACGGACACGGGCATAGGAGATGCTATGTTATGTGTTTGCGGATCCCCTATGTAGTCGCAATTGATGAATCAGTATAGTCGTGCCTACCTGTGCATCGAGGTTCGCGCCCTTTTAAATAATTCGATTTTAAGAAGGCTGAAATCCTCGCTAGAGATGGCGGCAGCCTGAGCCGCGAGCTGCTCGAGTCATGGTTCTCAAGCCCACACTCCGTCAGCAAGCTGAATGATTGGCTGTTCCCTGCTGCGTACTGAGACATTGCCTGAGCAAGAGAATCAGTCACGTGGGAAGGGCAGGACCCAGCAACAACTTCGACGACAGATAGCATAATTAGTACATAAGTGTACTCCAATCTGATCCAGGATTCACCAACCCTGGCTTGTTTCGTTTGGCGGGCTGTGGACACTTCCACTTTACTCAACGAAACAATTATGCTACTCGCTAACTTTAAGTAAGCAATGGCTCAGTGGATAGGACGGTCGTCTCTAGCTCACTGGTCCCGGGTTCAAAATTCGAGTGTAGCGGCAGTTTCTGCGGCTATACTGGAGTCAGGTAACTGTGACCGACGACGGGATATGACCCAGAAATACGCGTATCTCACAGTCCTTACGTTTGCTAGCAATACACTAGATAGCATAATCGTCGCGCACTTTTCAAGCCCGCATCCAACAGGCGAAATGCCTTCATGGCAATAACTTAGTCTAAAGCAAAGTGTCAAGACATCACTGAATGCATCTTCATTACCACCAAGAAATCTTAATACCGGGCAATATGTGCATGTCTCACCATATTCCGCGTGCGTCTCACACTATCCCATGAGTAAGAATAATCAATGGAATCCGAAACCTCAGGAGAAAAAAATTTGTTCGGAGATCCCACGATCTCCTTATTCTAATTAAGGTGAATGAAAATCGAAAGCG